GGGCTCATTCAGCGGCCGGAGCTGCTGGCGAGGGGGAGAGCGACCCACCCGGGGGTGGGGCCGGGCGTCGGGGAGAGAGGAGCAAAGGTGGCCGCAGCCGGCGTGGCAGCAGCAAGGCGGCAGCTCAGACCCGGAACCAGCCCCGAGTGCCCCGCGGCGGCTGCACGTCCCGGCTCCCCTCCCCATGCGCCCGCCCATGGCGGCCACGGGGCAGCTGTGGCTGCTTTACCTGTCGGCGGGGCTCCTGCCTCGGCTCGGCGCCGCCTTCAACTTGGACACCCGCGAGGACAATGTGATCCAGAAATCTGGGGAGCCCGGGAGTCTCTTCGGCTTCTCCCTGGCCATGCACTGGCAGCTGCAGCCCGAGGACAAGCGGCTGTGAGTTTCTTGACTCTTCCTCCCCCTACCGGGGCGCCGGCCCGCGCGCCAGCGAGGAGGGGCGAGGGCGCGTCCCGCTCCCGCCCGCCTGGCGCGCCCCGGGGCCCGCAACCACCCTTCCCTGCGCGCGGGGCTCCGCCGGCCCGAGGTGTTCGCGGGGCCCACGGGGAGCGGCCGGTACCCGGCCAGCCGCGCCCGCTGCCTGCGCGTCCCACTCCTGGGAAAAAGGCGATCCCAGGGGCCGACCCCTTGCGCCCGCCGCCCGAGTCCCTTTACCAGGCGCGGCTGTCCTCAGCCCCCGGAGAGTTCATTGCATTCCCACCCCCACCCCCCGAACACAATGTTTTCCCCTCGTCTTTTCCACTGGGTTGTTTGCTGGGAACCCGGCAGGTGGCACGCTTTGCTGAGCTTCACGTGCATGTTTCGGGCGGAGGTGGCGTGTTAGGGTCACGGAATCGCTGCTGTGGGGCTGGCAGTGTTGTATCAGAAAGCTCCAGGCCTTTCCACTACTCGCGGAACACCCTGCCCTGCCGCCCCGCTGAAGTTGGAGAGCCACTTTCCCTCATCCTCCGCGTGGCTTCCCTCATTGGGCTGGCGCTCCAGTATAAAAAATGTTGGCAACGGCGCCCTTTCTTCCCTCCTAAGATGGATTTAACCGAGCACCTGTTCGACAGTACTGATCAACTGAGAAAACAAATCCTTCTGAGCGGTGTGCTCGGACCCCCTCCCAGCCCCCAAAGCGCCCGGCAGCATCCGAGACCCGCGGGGCCTCTGTTGTTGGGCGGGCGCAGCCCGGGGGTTAAAGCAAAATGTCCGGTTGGAGCCCGGGCTTTGCAAACAAAATTTGCAAGTGACAACCCCTCACCGGAGCAATGTTGGACCCCCGAGAAAGTGGAAGCCGGCACTCTTGGCCTCTCTTTTTCTGATTTCGAATAACTGAAAGTGCTAGGTTCCCACATGATCTGACTATTTAGGCTTGGAGGGGATATTTTTGAAGTTTAATCGCCTTAAATGTTGCACTGCATTTTTGATCGGTGGTACCAAAAAATGAACTAATAACAAGAGTCTCCCCCTCTCTCCCCCCGCGTCACCCCCAGAGGCCCTTAGTTGAACTGAGGCCCTTCCGGGACCAACAGACCAGAGAAAGCAAAGTGTAGCGTTGGTAGAGAGAGGACTTTGTGTGTGAAGAGAGAGGTGAATGGAATTTTCAAGTTTGAGGAAACGTCTTGATTGCAGCAGTTAAGAGCTTTGGAATTTGTGAATGTGTGTGCCCCTGAATCTTAGGTTTTCTTTTTCCCTCGCATAACACCTGCTGGGTCTGCATGATTGGCCAGCTGCTTAAACTCTGCTCTGTCTCAGTAGAAAGAATTGTTAAGCTGTAAATCTGGAATGAAAAGTGGTTTTTGTTAACTCAATTAATGGATGAGGTTTTATGTCTCTGAACACTTAGGGGGTATGGAGTAGTTCACCCACCCACGTGGAGAATTTTAATTTAGTACAGCGTTGTGAGTGGTGTCCCCTCAGGGAACAGCTTCTTTTTGGCATTCTCGGCACCAAAGTCCTACTGAAGCAGATGATGGCTTGAAATTCTTATGTAGCAGAATTTGTGGAGGAGAAATACTGGGGCAACAAAATGTCCTTGGAATGGAAATTTGCAAAACGTGACTTTAGCCAAGAATCTCTGTTGTCACAAGGTTAGCAGTGTGCTTGCTAAAACTTGTTACTGCTGGTGAACTGCTCTGGGATTAAAACTGCTGAGAGTTCTCCCTAAAGTAGGATTAGAAGCCTTGTGGTTGAGGTCTGAATGTCTTCTAGCAATGCCGTCCTTAGAGACTGCAGAGGGGAGAGTAGCAGATCAGATCCTGGGCTGGGGAGAGACCCAGCTAAGGAACTGGGTATCTTTCCCAAGCACCTAAGGTAGCGAGTAGCGAGTGATTGCACTTGGGGCCTGTGATTTATGTCAGGTGCTATTTACATAAAATCTTTCAGTTGCAGGAGCAGCATTGGCCCTCTCAGGGGAACCAGTATGCTCAGGTCAGGTCACATCAGTTGTCACCTTTGAAAATAAACAATGTGGGTATCAGTGACAGAGCCTCTGAACTCCTAGAGGGTTTTGGGAAGCTGGTGGGAATGAGATCTGAGCTCAAATTCCTACACAAGATTTAGCAACTCTTACCAACTCTTACTTTAATTTCCATGGACCTTAGTTTCCCTATCTGCAAAATGGATATAATTTTGCTTTTTAATAAGGGAACTCTGGTGGCCTAGAGGGTATAGAGTTGCACTGCCAGCTCAGAGGCAAGTGGTTCAAATCCACCACCTCAGGATATAGATGAGCAATCTCCTGTGAATTTACAAACTCCAAAAACCCAGTGGAAGATCAGCTATGAGTCTGATCTAAGTAGATGTCAATGAGTGTGCATTTTAATGGTATTGTGAAGATTAAGCAATACCATGTAAAGTTCCTGGCCTGAGTTCCTACTGTGCTCTGTGGAGTCAATTTCCGCTCATAATGACCCAATGGAACCTGCCCCATAGCATTCCTAGGCTGTAATCTTGTAGCACATTGCCAGGTCTTTTCTTCCGTGTGACTCTAGTGGATTCTAACCTCTGACCTTTCTTAGCAGCTGAGTGCTTAAGCTTTGTGCCACCAGGACTGCTTGAGTTCTGCTATATAAAGTGTTAAACAACCAGGGAGTCTAAGCCTGCCTGAGAGTAATATCCAAGCGAACCGAAAATTGCTCTAGTGTTTTAAACTCTCCATCACCTTTATAAACTCTTCTTTCAAAGCAGTTTAACTTTAGTCTTAACCAGACTTGTAACAAAAGTAAACTAACTGAACAAAGGATTTTCTTGAGGGAGAAGAACTAAGATATCAAAGATGTATAGGAATGCTCTGTTAAAGAAAGCCCATCAGTTTTTGGTGGGGTAAATGTTCTGTAATGCTAATTAAATATTTAATAACATCATCAACTCAAGTTAAAATTTCATAACAGAATAATAGTGATCAGAGGAGTGTAAAACCTGTTGGATGTTCTTCAGACTTTGAGTTCTTCAAACTCCACTAGAGACAAGAAACTTCATTTAGATTTATATCAAAGCAGTTGTAAACTCCAAGAGATTATTAGATGGCTGGTCGAATTACTGAGGTCAGGGCTGAGCAAGCTGGAAATGTTAATTCCTCTTAGGTAAGTAAGGCTGAGTCATCCTCAGAGGCAGAAGGAATATGATGATTTCTACAGGTATGTCCATTCTGTGAGTCATCACTCTTGGCTCTTGTGAAAAGAGCTGGGTCTGTGATTACAGGCAGGAAAGCTAGCAAGAGGAGGAAGAAGAGAAGGGAAATTCTGGATTTCTCCCAGTCTTTACTTTTCATTTTGGGACCTCTCTGAAAACCATCTTTCAGAGGGTTTTCAAACCTGTTGCTTCTGTTCTGACTCTGCTGTGCTAGCCTTTGCTTTTCTCAGGCTGATGATACTCCACCTTTTAAAAAAATAACCATTTTCTGAATTAGATGTCATCTAATCCAACTGCTTCTCTTGACATGAGGAAGGAATTTGAAGCCCTGGTTCTGGAATGACATACCCAGAGTCTCACAACTGTGTAAGCAGAATCTTCACAGATTCTGGATGTGGACTTGGTACTTCCATCTTGTACACATGCCATCTCTTAAAGCAAAAGTCCGAAATGCCCTTCACACAGGGAGAAATTGGCCAGCATCTGAGTTTTAGAAACATACTGAATGGCATTGATTTATTAAACAGCTTCATGTCTGGGCCAGGGCAATCCATTTAAATGTCTTGCACTTGGACTCTCTTCCTGCGGACCCTTATTCCATCTGGCATCCCGTCACCCTCTGGGTCCTTCCTTTGCGTGCCCCTTTTGGCCCCACCCTTCATCTTCATTCGGAAAAAACCCCATGAGGTGTGTCTGCGAGCCAACCAGGGATCAGAGCCGTGTCCAGGATGTGTAGCTAAGCACTTACTTCCTTGCACTCACCCTGTCAGAGTGCCATGTGGCCATCGGCCATCTTCTAGGTACTATGCTTGGTCACCTTGCCTCCTGAGAATGGAGACAAACAGACCTGTGAACTTAGAGGAGGTCTCAGAGGACTTTGGAAATTCATAGGACTCTGCAAGAAAGTGACTGGTTTATTTTTAACACAGGCTGATGTTAAGACTAAGTAATGACTTAGGGTTGGAGAACAGGGTCAAGAGAGTATCCATATGGTATAAATACTTAGTCAGGCTCCTGTGATACTCCCCACTCTTTTATAAAAAGCACTTTTTCTATGTCCTTAGTTATAGAGACTCCATTTTAGCATTAACAACATTGATTTAATTTAAGCTTTATGACCACATAGCACAGGAACAATGACATACAGTTCCCCGTGCACCTTTGTTCAACATATGTTAGTGGACCGTGTGACCAGTGAATTGGCATTTTCCAAAGGGATAGTGGAGCAAAACAGAAAATACTATCATACACTTAGATGAAGGGTCAGTTGTGCCGGAAATACTGGTTAGTTCTGCTGTGGCCTATCTTGTATTGTTGTTGAGTTGGAATCGACCCATAGCTGAGCCTCCAGCAGATTTTTGAGGTAGTTTAATCACAAGGGGGAGGTTGCCCATTTTTCTCCTGCAGAGCAGCTGGTGGATTGGAACCTCATTCCTTTAGTGTATTACAGCTCAGCTTCTTACCACTAGGCTACCAGTGCTTCCTGGTTTGACTTACAGAGAAGACATGATGTCTCAAGGACCAGATCAACTATTTCTGGGTAAATGCCATTCTACACTCTAGCAGTTACTTCTTCCTTTGAGCTATTAAATGTCTGTAATACTTCGTATCATGTGATTAGTTGGCAGTTTGAGTGTGTTGTGTTTGACTGATCCACCATTTTCAGGGTAGGATTCAGTCCTTCACAACTAGATTATAGGTTAGGCGAGGGGCAGGAGTCTTAGGCTTATTTCTTTGCCTGATAGCAACTAGCGTGTGCCTTG